CTCCCTTCCCTTCCCCCTCCACTCTTCTCCCCTTTCCCTCCCCTCCGCATTCCCTTCCCTTCCCCTCCACTCCCCTCCCTGCTTCCTTTCCCTCCCCTCCCTTCTATCCCCTTTCTCCCCTCCCCCTCTCTCCCCTCCCCTCCCTTCCCTGCCTTTCCTTCCTTCCCCTTTCTCCATCTCTTGAACTCTTTCCCTTTTGCAGAAGACCCACTTCTCTACTTCCTATTATCTATCTTATTTCGTTCCTTATTTATATTTTGGGGTTCTCATATAAGAGAAACCAAACAATTTTTAAAGCTGTGTGCCAGATTTATTTCACTTAACATTAAAACCTTTCTCGCAGAGCTTAGGCACAGGTCTGAATCAGTCAGCACTACTTTCCAGAATATTCACATGGAAGTAAATAAGATCTAAGCACCATGTGGGTTTTGTGCTGCGATGGAGTCTTTTTCGTGGTCCAACATGTGGGCTTGCTCATAGAGTCAGGAAAATCGGAGTTTGCATCCTAATCACACTTTAAGAGTTGTGAGGCTTGGACTCAGACCTTACTGTTTGGCTTCAGTATCCTTGCCGTACAATGTGGATAATAATGGGACCTCTGCTCCTAGAGCTACTGAAAGGATTACACGAGAGCTGTGAGTCAGGGTCTTCGGCCTGAGCTGCGGGGCAGAGCAGGCTGGCGTCAAGTCGGCCAGCCCTACCTCTTGCTAGCTCCACATTCAGTGCCAGCATATGTGGCAGCCTGAAGCCAGCAAGATGGGGTTTTTCCCGCCACAGAGAGGGCCACTCAGTTCCCATCAGAGCACTGGCCACTGGCAGTATTGTCACCATCCCTGCCATGTCCATCTGAGCACACTTCACCTTCAGACAGAAAGTAATGGCTTGAGAATGAGTATCATGTTCTGTGGGGAGGATTTCAAGAATCCTGTGTGTTTCTCTTCTGGTCATTTCATGGTCAGAATTCCCTGCCTCTGTCCTGGTGTCTTTATGACCGGAATCTTCTGCTTATCATCACCTCTTGACAGAGATTGAAATTCTGACTTCATTTTTTCCAAATGAATGAAGCCCTTCATTATAAACTACTACTTTACTAAAGGTTTTTTTTGGACATAATATTCCTTTGTTTTTTACACATTTGACAGAGGTTTTTCAGTAAACAATCACTGCAGTA